AAAACATATCTTTAAATATTAAAAGAAAATACTACATGTTTATTTGGATAGAGTTTTTGTTTATGTGATCTAAAAACATTCTTTCAGAAACCTTGTCTTCCCTCAATCATCACTAATGCCCCAACTAATGAGCAATCAAAGGGTTTTTGGTATTCAGAATTTTCATCAAATAAATCTTAATAGCCTATCATTTCAACTCACTTTGAGTATTTTTATCTAACAATTCAATTCTCCAACTCATATTCTTTAAATAATTGAAACATTTCAATGCAAACAATTATTAAAATCTTCCCACAAAATTAATTTAGTTTTCAATCTAAACAACCTACTCTTGGAAAACAAGAACGAATCTTTTGTTGTTTAGATCAAAGACTACCCTCCACTACCTCTTCAATAATTTATCTCTTACAAATTATTAGGGACACAAAAATTTATTCTCCCTTAATCTTGGTACCAAGTAACTCCTGGCTGTTGTATTTACTCAACAATGACAAATAGTCATAATTAGTTGCACCTACTGTCAACCATTGTTGATGGGTTGTAAATTATGAGTCCAATTTTAATCGATTATCAATAGATTGTACACAAATGATCTCCAACGGTTAGATTTTTTTAAATCTTATTGTTTTTGGATTAAAATTTATGAGAAGGGATAATGGATTACAGTTAAGCTGTAGCAAAATTGGACGATGGGAACTGTAGATGAGCAGTGATTTGATAATTATTGAGTGACATAAGCGTCTAGCTTTATTGCCGAAAGATTTCAAAAAGGAAAGAAACATCAGTTGGATTTCCCAAATGCAGTGATGGGACACATCTCTGTGTTTGATTACCTGAAAGAGTGAAGGGTCCCCGATAAGATGTGGCGAAATGTGAGCCGACTGTCGTCCGGAGTCAGCCCACTGAGAAGCAAATGGGCCAATGAAAGCGAGTGGGTCTGATATCGGGAGCCCACACTCTCTTTCCATTTTTGTCCTCCATGTTAATGGGTGGTGGAGTGGAAAGCGGCACTTTCTGATCAAAAGGTGCCATGGCTATCGCAGTGGACCCCTTCCTGTCCAAGTTGGCGCAGCTTTATTTTATTTACAACATGAAAAGGGTCCAGTCCAGAGGTAGAATGTGATAATTACAATTTAGCCAATCTCGCAAGACACTTGAACCATCTTGTTAAATAAAGCAACTCAGATGTTTTAAAACTCTAAAAGGAAGCACTTGCTAGTTGCTACTGAATATCCTCGATCATACAAAAACAAATATTTTCATATTTCGATCAATAGATTAGAGAATTATTACATCAAACATGTTCAGTTCCAAAGCCAGAAACAACATCCTTATTTTCCTCTGACATTGACAAGCACACCAAGTTGAATACAAAGAATTACAAAGCGAAAAGCTTGCGTCCATATGATTTCAACCCAGGGAAAATGTAAGAAAATCAGATTACAAAAGAATACATTCACAAATGACTATTTTTAAAGACTGTAGGCAAACACTACAAAAGTCAAAATCTCCGGTAGACTATGTACACTGGAATGATAAATAAAACCCAAAATGGGAAAGGAAAATTGTTCCCTACTTGATCATATAATTTTGTTTCTCCCCCCAAAATTTCAATTTTTGCGGAAAAATAATTACTTGTGTGACATCCTTTACTTGTTGGACCACTGGAATTCTATTTCCAAATTCCGTGATGGCCCGCTTTTACTTTCGGGTAATAGGGTATACTCGCCTGCCACTGCTCCAAGCATTACAACCCGATCAATTTGTATCGTGACTTTTCCAAAGGAACTCTGTTGTCATAAAAAGACGAAAAAAGTTTAGAAATAATTAGAAAATTTTCTGAAATCACCCAAACTAACCAAAACAAAAACTAAAGAGAATAATTCTTTCTGATATTGTTACCTTCCCCATTTTGCTCTTGTTCTTGCAAGATATGTGCAGCTTCTGGCCCTTTGGAGGACTCTCAAAAGTCCATGAAAAACTTTCATCCCACTCTGGATTAGGGCCAGTGGATACAACCTGACAAGTGACAAATAAGTTAGGATGGGACAAATTAGAGAAGGTGAATGTAACGAGCAGAGAAAGGTGTGTACTCAGATAAGCACATAATGTTTTCAAGTGATTTTAAAACCAGCACAAATAGACAGAATACATATTCATTCAATTCGTATACGGACCAAATGTTCAGGAGACAACAGTGATTCAGATCAAACTGCTTCCTGACCAAGAAAGCTTGCAGAGCTCATAAGCAGAACAAATCATCTTACTCTAAATTCTCAAGAGCTGGTTTAAAGATTTGACATGAAAAATCAACAACTCCATGTATCCATAAACTGGGTGCCATGCAGGGAACTTCAGTCCACTATATACCAGTCATTTTTCAGAAAACTAGTTATGAGGACTATGGAGCTGCAGCTCAAACATTGTGCAAATGTACAGGCTACCAGGAGTCTCATGTTACTGTTGACACCTAATTGTTTAATTGTAACAAATAACTAGGTGATAACTGATAATTTCAGAAATAAAAATTCCCTAACTCAAAATCACAAACAGATAAAACAGGATGGAGAAGGATAGCAAAGTATCTTACCTTGGTTTGCCGAGGTGGATTGTTGCCAAGCGTAAGTTTGCAAAAAACACTTGGGTTTCCTACTGATTGCTTCATATTATTGCCACGCTTTATTATTACCACCAATGTCCCAGGCAAGCACTGCAACAGAAATTCAGCCTTCTCCTGAAATCTAGGTGGTCCAGACTGGATTAAGTATTGGAGCAATGGTATTGCATCTGCAGCAGCAACTGATTGGGCTCTTGAAACTTCAGCTGGGCAAGCTGACCAAGCTTGCCTCAGTAGGAAAAGAGCATCTAAAGCAGCTTCTTGAGTTGCCTCAGAACCTGTTTTGAGGGATGAAACCAAATGGGGAATACTAAGTGTTGCAGGCTCTGTGGCTCTCAAACGGGGGAAGTTGCTAAATAAAGAATTTAGAGCTTTTAGATACTCCTCGTTCACAGTTCCAGTAGCCCATAAATCCTTTTCAATAGCAGCTGCAAGATATAGATAGACGTTATGCATAACAGAAGAAGCTACAGTTTGCATGGAAATGTTTATCTAAAGAACAATGCATTAGCAATACCAACGTAAACCAAATTGACAAACTAAAATGAAAATCAATTTCAAAGTACTGATGATCCTAGCCCACTAATCCTGCTTGAACACTGAGTGTTGTTTGTCACTTCTACCTAGCGCAAGACTTAACCAACGATAAAGAAAACTAAGGTGTACACACACATACACAAAAAGCATTGTGAAAATTGCTCAGGAAGGTGATAAAGGGGTGCAGAAAAACAGACAATTTACCATCCAATTCATTTTGTAAAGCTCCAAAGCAAAACCAGAATGCAAATTCATTTTTCATGGGCTAAGAAAACAGAAAAAGAATTTTGAGTTGTAAATATTTCATCAGTAAATCGCATTTTGAAGTCTATAACTCTGTTTCACCGTAAGCAATAGGTTTTGGTGATAACCAAAATCTTTTAAGGAAGTGTGTTCACAACCGCAAGACGCATAATAAGTGATGATGCACTCAGAATTGCCAATCAAACTGGAAGCATAAGTTGAACTAAGAGCCTAACAAGGGCAAAGAGTTAGGAAAGAGGCTCTTTTAAAATGTTACGACCAAAAGGTTTGTGAACCAATACTAAATAGGAAAAAGATTTGCAACATAACCATGTAGTAGCAGGGCATGGCAATATAACTTTTATAAAATATAGCACACTTTTAAGTAACTTCTCCTCACATTAGCCAGCCATAGTTAAAGTCAGAGTATAGGGAACTTACCAGTTATGGCTCTGACAGTTTCACTTGAAGCATACTCCTGAATGGTATGATTAGAAAATAGAAGCTTAACAAACATTGCAGCCTGAACGGATGTTTCTGGATCACTTGAACCTATTAGATCCAATACAACCTGAACACCACCAGCCTCAGCTACTGCTCTCTTATTTGATCTGCTATACATTACAAGATTTTGCAAAGCACATATAGCTACCACTTTCATTTCTTCCGTGGGTTGGTCTTCGAGCACATTAACAAGAGCACGGCAAGCTGAAACAGCATCAGCACTTCGAGCGAGTGCCTCATTCTGGAAAAGGTCACCAAGAGCCAATGTGGCCAGTAGCCTTGCCTGCTGAGCTTGGGTTTGTGGATCCAAGAGATACTGGGATAGTGGTACGATTGCAGTTTTAGTAGCTTTTGTTTCTCTGATCTTCACATTATTGAGTAATACTTCCAGCAGTCTTGCTGCTGTTTCCTCACATTGATGAGATCTGAGAAGTTCTAAGAGAGCCTCTATAGCACCACTTTCAGCCATCGCTTCAGCACTGGTTCCATCATCACTTTCTAATACCAGGAGAGCATTCAATGCACCAACCACAGTGCCCTCTGAGCCAGAACGAAGCAACCTTACCAAAACAGCAACAGGAACTTCCAGATAAAATTCAGAACTGAATTGCAGAATGCTAGCTAAAACAGAAGCAGCTGATTCCCATAAAGCATGTGGGAGTGAAGGATCAGCTTGCAATATCACTTTGGACAACTCATTGACACCACCCTCTTTTGCAATTTCATTTGGCCATGTTAGTGCAATGCTAACGAGAGCCTTCACAGCTCTCTGTTGCAAGATATGTATGCCAGAACCAAGAATTCTTATAAGGGGACCAATTACTTGCTGTGTCACTGCATCCTTCTGAAGATGTTCTTCCAGGAGCAGATGTGATAGAAGCTCTGCTGCTAACTGCTGAACTGCTGGAGCTGGAGAATCAAGAAGTGGGATAAGCGGTTCTATAGCTTGGTGAGAGGTCAGCGTATAATCAGCACGACAGTGTGGATGCTCCAGAATATTTACAAGGACCTGTAATGCACTATGCTGTCCATCAGGCCCAAATTCAGGTCTTGATAGCAACTGGAAAAGGGGCTCAACCACTTTTGCTGCAGAAGGTCCTTTAGCAATAGTAGCATTGTTTGTCAGTATTCGGAGCAATTCTGCAAAAGCAGCACACAGGAAATCTGGCGCTTCATGAAGGATATCAAGTATGCTTTCGATTACTCCAGCTTTCACCATTTCCATCTTACAAGCAGGTCTATCTTTCCCTAACTTCACAAGAGCTCTTGAGATAGCTTCATGAAGCATGTAATTATTACCATACAAAAGGCCAACAAGAGGAATTACAGCACCATGTGCGGCAACTAGTTCTGCCAGTTGCTCATCATCTACAAGTTTATCTATTGCACGGACAACTGAATGTTGAGCAGGACTGAACTCAGTTACAAGGAGAGATACTAGAGGCTCAACACAGCGAGCTGCAGCCATAGTGGATCTGATTCTTGTATTCACAAAAAGAACACAACACAACTCAGCAGCATCCCCCTTCAGCTCCATCGAACAATTTGATGTAAGGATTCTGCAAAGAACATCCACTGCATTCATTTCAACATCTGCAACAGCAAGGGCTCTAGAAGGGTTCTCACTCAACAACCTAACCAATGCTGCTATTGCAGCATGCTGCTCTTTCTCCATTCCAGTATTAAGAATCTCCACCAAGGGTTGAACAGCTTGCCGGGCAGTCTCAGCATTTCTGATATGGTCAGCAGAGAATAGGCTTTCCAATGCTTTAGCAGCACTATACCTAGCAGCTCGTCCTCCAAGCCGTAAAACTGCTACAAGTTGGCTAACAGCACCAAATGCAGCCTCATGTCTTCGAATTTCAGAACTGCTAAATAGGATCCCTAATAGATCAGTAGCAGCTTCTTCAGTTGCATCTTGAGGGCTGAGAGAAAGATACTTAGTCAGTGCTTCTAAAGCCCCTGATTCTACCATAACAATCTTATTTGATGGACAGTCTTTTGCAAGCTGAGTCAGAAGCCCAAGTGCCAGATAAGGTGCACCAGGGCGGTCTGGAATTGGTTTAAGTAGGTCAACAAGGGCAGGTATTGCTTTTCGAGAAGTAGCACCAACCCTAATGTCTTCAACTCT